GGCGCCCCCTGCCGGCCGGGCGGCGATTTGCAGGCCCAGCAGGCTGCCCGTCGCGTGCCGGGGCCCAACGTTCGCAGAGCCTCCGCGAGGACCGCCCCGCTGGCCTCTGTCCGCTGCCCCCGGAGGCTGCGGCGGCTGCGGGAGCTGCGAGGACCTGGGGATTGTAGAGGGCCAGGGCCCTGCTCCTCCTCTTCGTTGGGCTCCGCGGTTTTCAAGCACACGTTAAGGGGGGGGGGCTTGGGGAGGATGGCTCGTGTTCATGCGGGTTTGCGGGATGTGGGTGTCTTAGATCCAGGGATCAGTGGGGGTTTTTTGGCGTTAAGGTCAGGAGCGGATCAGTCTGAGCAGGCGACTGACTCCTTGTTCCACACGACGCTGCCTGCAGAGGGTCTTATTCCAGGGCCTTCTTAGCTAATACCACCAATGGTTAGTTGAACACTTAATCGTGAACAGAAAGTATGGGATCTTAATTAAGATCCTGCGCTTTTCATTTTTTGAAGACTTGTGCGTGCTGCAAGACCTTTCCTCTTTTTTAGCGTTAAGAATGTCTGCTTGCTTTTTTATGTGGCCGATGTGGTAAACTGAAATGCAAGCAAAGGTAAACGTGTTTGTTCAGAGTCAGGACACCACATACGGTTGTACACAGAGGTACTTGCAACATATCTTAGCATTCCACACCTGAAGGATTGCGGATGTATTTGCAGTTTTGTGAAGTAGCAGAGTGAGTAACCATAGATGTCGAGCTAACTCCTAATTGTCATATAATCACCTAATATTTGGAGTTTCCTGTAGTTGGGAGTGTTAAAATCAGTTACGTATTTGCTTATAAGGAGTGGATAGCTTATACCACGAACAGGTAGGTATTTGTTAACCAAGTCTCTTAAAATCTCACCATCAGTGGGCTCAGGAGTCAGCCCTGCCACATACTGGCTTTAAGTAGTTACCTAATTCTCTAGGCTTCAGTTTCTTGATCTATAAAATGGGGATAAAATGACACATTATATATGGCTATTAGGATTAAATTAGTTTGAATAAAGCACTAGAAAAATGCCTGGAGAAAAAGTACTAATTATTGGTATTGTTATTGATCTAATGCCCATGGAAATCAGAAAGTTATATTCTACTTAATGCTGGCATATTTTTATAAAAAGTGTCCATAAGGCTGAAACCAAATATTCAATTTGATGTCAGTCCCATTCATTCATTCACTTTGTTCACTCAACACAATCCCATTTACAATTGCACCGATAAGAATAAAATACCTAGGAATAAACTTAATGAAGGAGGTGAAAGACCTGTACCCTGAAATAGTTAACATTTTATTTCAGCAGTAAATTGATGAATGGGCCTTCTAGAGGTAATGGAGAAGAACCTAAATGAGGTTCAGATGCCTTGAAGAGCCTCTTACTTGACCCAGACTTCAACCACATGCACTGTTGCAACCTAGCAACTCCTTCTACATCTGGGAAGCAGACCAAAGGGATCCTAAGATTAATCCAGAAGTTACAGAAGACAGCCTCAGTTTATAAGCTCATCATTCTTTTAGCTCAAATGCGGTATTTGCGGGTAACTATTGGGTATCTAATATAAACCATGCTGAATGACTTATAGCAGTAGCTCATTTGTGACTAGCTCCATTGTACAGATGAGGAACCCGGGGCCCAAAGAAGGGAAATGGTGTACCTAGGGTCACATGGTCAGGCAGTTGGAAAATGGGGAAGCCAGAATACAACCTGAAGCCTGTTGGATTTTTTCTATGACACCATGTGACACCATGCTGTTTTGAATAATCCTATCTTTAAGAATCCTTATGAACTTGGCAGAGAAACTCACTTTCTGTGGTTTGAAAGAGTATGAACTTCACAGAATTTTTTTAATTATGGAAAATTCCAAACATCTAAAAAAGTAGACAGATTAATGAACTCCAATGCATCCATCACCTGTCTTTAAAAATTATCTACCCATGACCAATCTTGTTTCATCAGTACCCCTACCTACTTTCCCCTGATCTATTATTTTAGGTTTTTTTTTTTCCATTCTATTATTTTGAAGCAAATCCCAGATATAATAGTTTGTCTGTATATATGTCAGTATATATCACTAGAAAAGAAATCTTTTAAAAAACACATATAAGAGGCCCTGGGGTGGCTCAGTCTGTTAAGCATCTGACTCTTGATCTCAGCTCAGGTCTTGATCTCAGGGTCAAGAGTTGGGCACGGAGCCTACTTAAACAAACAAAAAAACACACAACGCCATTGTAATACCTTAAACATTAACCATAACTTATCAACAGCATTAATTATGGACACAAAGTACACAAATTTCCAAAATTTGTCTTTTTTTAACATAGCAATTGGTTGCTACATCTCTTATGTTTCTTTAATCTCCAATCTCCCCCTCCCATCTCTTTTCATTTTCTTGCAATTTGTACTGTAGCATTTCCTGCAGTCTGGATTTTGTTGACCACACCCCCAGGGTACTTTTTCGCATGTGCTCTGACCTCTGTGTTTTTGTAAATTGTTAACTGTAACTAGCTCCAGAGGCTTGATCAGACTCAGGTTAGAAATTTTTGGCAAGAATACTTCAGAGGTGATTGTGTGTTTCCATCAGGAGGCACAAGACATCCAATTGTCACTCTTTTTGTGATGCTTAGGCATCAGGTGATGCTCAGTGCCTACATCTAGTAATTCATTAGGGGTTGCAAAATTGTGACATCCTAACTCTGTCATTCCTTCTTCGTTTATTTGCTGAAATACTTCCAGAAATTTGCTGATATGTATTCTTTGGTTACCTATGGTGCTGTTCATACGGGAAAGACAAAATGAATTAAAACTTTAAAATGAAGAGCTGGTTCACTGCTCATGTAAAAACTCAGAGATGGTTCAAAATTTAAATGTGAAGATAAGAATAAATAGCATTTGGAAATACTCAGGCTAGCTGCCAGTGTCAACAAAGACACCTTAACTGTTGTTGCCCAACTTGCTTTTTTAAATATACTGTGTTCTATCTTAACTAGAGTGACTTTCACGGATTTCTTTATTTATCTAAGCTCTGAAAAGGAAAAAAATTAACAGAAGACTTTAATGTGATTGATCCTTTTCAAGGGAAGAGGTCAGAATTCAGGAGAATGAGTCATGAAGAATTTTTTTGAATCTTATTTGGTTCTATCATTAAACTAGTTGAACAGAAAAGTACATATGACAATTACCTTTTTTTAGAGGTGGGAGGGTAGAGGGAGAGAGAGAATCTTAAGCAGGCTCCACACCCAGGAGCCTGATGTGGGGCTCAATCTCATAACCCTGAAATCATGACCTGAGCCGAAATGAAGAACCTGATGCTTAACCGACTGAGCCACCCAGGCACCCCTTAACAATAATCTTGATTATAATTGGTCAGCATTGTAACTAGTTCTGTTAAAGGTAATTTGTAATTACTTTAGATCTACAGATACTTCAGCTTAGATCAGAATTTACCTGAAAATGTTCATTTCAACTGTCTTTTTAGCTTTGGTCACATAGTAAGCATTCAATTAATATTTAATGCAGACCTACCCCTCCTCCCTTTTTTTTGTTACTACATGCCACCTAGGGTTTCTGTGACATTCTAATGAGAATCTCATTAGATCCAAAGGCCTTTGAAAAATATATTATTATTATTGGCTAATGGAAATGCAGCTCCTGAGCAAATAATATCATTGATATAAGCAATACCCTGAAAAAAAATGTGGTCTTTACTTTGTCAAGGCCTGCACCATGCCAGCACTGAAGAGTTTACCAAAAAAAAAAAGAGAGAGAGAGAGAGAGAGGGGCGCCTGAGTGGGTCAGTCAGTGAAACATCTGCCTTCAGCTCAGGTTATGATCCCAGGGCCCTGGGATGGAGCCCCACATCGGGCTCCCTGCTCAGCGGGGAGCCTGCTTCTCCCTCTGCCCCTTCACTCACTTGTGCTTGCTCTCTCTGTCTCTCTCTCTCTCAAATCAATAAATAAAATCTTAAAAAAAAATGGGAGACATAGTTCTAGCCATCACATATTAGGTATGACGGCTGCATTAGGAGTTGGGGTTTCATAGGTTCTAGTATTATCTCTCCATTGTCTGATGGGGGACCCGAACATTGTGCAAGCAGTGAAGAAACCCTACCTGAACTAGTACCCAAGGGACCTGTTGAGTTCTAATAACAGCTGCAATTCAGTGAACTAGGAATACAGGTCCAGGAAACTTACATATGTTAGTGCATGAGATAAGACTAGCTAGCAAGTGTGTGGCCCAGAAATTTTACCAATGAAATAGGTAAAAATTTACCTCTTTTGCACTTCTATTTTTGATCCTTAAAAAGATACATACGTCAGTTCATGTGTACCTGTGCTAATCATCCTCCCCATGGGGAAATGGAATGAAGCATGGCGATGGGTCCAATTGAATTTGTGTTCATCTGTCCTTTTGCATTAAGCTCTACAGCCTCAAAAGACAATATGCCAATAGCTAGAATTCCTGGTGCATCAATTTCTATCATTTCTAGGGAACCAAAGTCCCTATACTCTTTTTTTTAAAAAGATTTTATTTATTTATTTGAGAGAGAGAGAGGAGAGGGGGGAGGGTCAGAGGGAGAAGCAGACTCCCTGCCGAGCAGGGAGCCCGATGCAGGACTCGATCCTGTGACTCCAGGATCATGCCAAAGTCCCTATACTCTTAACTTTGATACAGAGTAAGCATTAAGGATCCTATACGTGGAAGATGGCCTCTTTTACCACATA